CTCTCAGCTCACAGCAACCTCCACCTCCCAGATTCAAGAGATTCTCCTGCCTCAGCCTCCTGAGTAGCTGGGATTATAGGCACCTACATGTCCAGCTAATTTCAGTATTTTTAATTAATTAATTAATTAATTAACTTATTTTGAGATGGAGTCTTGCTCTGTTGTTCAGGTTGGAGTGCATTGGCACGATCTCAGCTCACTGCAACCTCTACCTCCTGGGTTCAAGTGATTTCCGGCTAATTTTTATGTTTTTAGTAGAGATGGGGTTTCACCATGTTGGCCAGGCTGGCCTTGAACTTCTGACCTCAGGTACTCTGCCCACCTCAGCCTCCCAAAGTGCTAAGACTACAGGCATGAGCCACTACCCCTGGCCAAATTTTTGTATTTTTAGTAGAGATGGGGTTTCACCATGTTGGCCAGACTGGTCTCAAGCTCCTGGCCTCAAGTGATCTCCTGCCTCGGCCTCTCAAAGTGCTGGGATTGCAGGCGTGAGCCACTGTGCCTGGCGACAAGTTAATTTTTATAACAGGACCACCAGATGGCTTAGGCCAAAATGCTTTAAGCATTGAGGTTTGCATCATTTAATAGACATCCAAGATTCAGACTGAAGGGTTATCTTGACTAGAAATTAGGTTAATGAGTGTAACTTTCTGTGATTTTCAGGATTAATTTACATCAAGCGGACAGATTATTTGTCTGTCGTATTTTAAAAATTCATTGCTACCCAGGCATGGCTGATCCTGGGGAGCAGGATGAAGTAGAAGTTATTTTTCAGTTTCCCCATGCTTCTTTTAGGTAACTTATGTCCTGCGCTTCTAAGAGGTCCGTGTTTCTGATGCTTTCTGGCTGTCCAGGTCCTCCAGCCAGGCCAGCTCTCCCAGAAGTCCCGCTGGAGTCAACATGGATCTTCTTCTTTACCCTCTTCAACACCCCTGTCCCCCAGGCTTTCTGAGTTCAGGGGGTTGTTACGTAGAGTTATGGGATTAAATCAGCTCATACTATGAATTAACAATTCCTGACAGGGCTAATGGTGATTACAAGTCTAAGGTGTTTGCGTAAAAAGAACAATGTTCTACTGAAATAAACCTTTCATGGTGACATTTCAGTGGCTTTGAATGAGAACCTTTCTAGTGTCATTGACCCTGTTCCAGGGATCCACCTCCTGCCACCTCCTTGGAGTTTGGGCCAAGGTTCTTTTCCTCAACACTGTGGCCAGTTGTTTTAACTTCAATATTTGAGATGGCAATTGGCATTAGGGGTGTTTTACCAAGTTCCTTAAGCCTTTCTTAATATAACAACATCTGAATTGAGAGATAGCTCATTATGGCCTGGGTGCTGGATGTATGGGTGCTCATACTAAGTCCTTCTTAGCCAAGGGAGAAAAATGTAAGGATAAGACAACCAATATTACAGGGGCTGTCTGAGCTGTTACCTGTGATTTTCTTTTTCTTTCTTTCCTTTTTTTTTTTTTTTTTATTATAAGGTAATTTTTTTTTGATCTTGTTTTTTTTTATTTTGTTTTTTTTTTTTTTTTTTTTTTTTTTTTTTTTTTTTTTTTTTTCCTGGGCCCATGATTCTATAATCTCCTTTAGGAACTCTCAGGCATAGACACAGAAATCTAAGGGGTGTGTGAGGAGAATAAATACAACTCAGGGATGTAAAGCCCAGCAGAGCCCTAGCATTCACAGGAACAGTCCATGTGTCACAGCCAGCGAGTAAAAGGCACACAGGAAAGCATGGAGAGCCAGCTCCACAGACTCTGAATGTTTCTAGCATCCAGACTCCTAACAGGCTGTATCCATCATGAGGAAGCCTCCAAGGGGGTCCCCTCAGCCCCTCCGGAAGCACACCAGCTCCAACCAGCCCTGTCCAGAGGCTCCATCCTTAGGACCCTGACCCAGTCTCCTCCAGTCCCAGCCACCAACTGGCATGGTTCACCTTCTCCGAGGCAGCACAAAGCCACATGAGTGGCTCCTTCTTTCCTTCTAGCTCCTGGGTACATGGGGATGTACGCTGACCCCTTCAGAAGCTGGCTCACATGGAGAGGCCACGAGGGCTACAGAAGGGCATCTGAGTCTTAGTGTCCCTCTGCTAAGCCACGGATCTAAGACTAGGCTAGCTGGCTGGGCTGCTGGGATTACGTCTGTAATCCCAGCCCATTGAAAGGCTGAGGTGGGTGGATGACCTGAGGTCAGGAGTTCAAGACCAGCCTGGCCAACATGTCGAAATCCTGTCTTTACTAAGAATACAAAAATTAGGTGGCTGTGGTGGCACACACCTGTAATTCCAGCTATTTAGGAGGGTAAGGCAACATAATTGCTTCAACTCAGGAGGAGGCAGAGGTTGCAGTGAACCAAGATCGTGCCACTGCACTCCAGCCTGGGAAACAGAGTGAGATTCACCTCAAAAAAAAAAAAAAAAAAAAAAAGACTAGGCTAGCCATGGGTTCAAGTCACAGAGCCACGGCAAATCTCCCAAGCTTTGCACATCTTCACAGCTTAGCTGTGTTCCCAAGGCCTTGCACAGACCTGGCACATGGAAGACATCTGTGAACATGTGTTGCTGTTCACCAGTCTTAGTGTCTTCATCTATGAAACAGTGGTTCTCAACCCACGTTGTGGGGCAGGAAAGGAGATCCCAGCGCTCAGCATGCTGAGTGTGCACAGAGTGGTCTCATCATATCCAGTCGCCCAGCCCAGGAAGGGAGCATCATTGTTCCCATTTTGCAGATGAGAAAACTGAGGTTAGGAAACCTTAACAGCCTGCTCTCATGCTCCCTGCAGAGCCAGGAGTCAAATCCAGGTCTGAGTCTGAAGCCCTCGTGGTTTCCACTACACCGCACCACCCTTTCACTGTTAAGTGCTCCTGGAGGGAGTTATTTCCACCTCCACCCAGAGCTGCGGCCCCCACACCCAGCACAGAATCGCCGGCGCTTGGATGCAGCAAGCCACAGCTTCCTGGGCAGCCCTCAGCTGCGGGCCACGGACGCTGACTTCCTACCACCCATCCTTGCCCGAGCTCGCCCACCTGGAGAAGGGCCCCGACTGTCCCCAGGGGACGCCCCCACGCAGGAAATACTCACGGCTCCCGCAGGCCCAGGCGGCTCCGCGGGGCGCATCCTCTCCGGGGGCTCCAGCCTCCTCGAGAGCAGTCGAACGCTGGGCTGGGCTGCCTCCTTTCTCTGGGGCATCAGATTATTTTAGCACTAGCGGAAGGAACAGACGGAAACTGAAGTCACATGGAGAGCGGGCTGCTCAGCTACTCAGCACTCAGGCTCACTTAGATCGCGCTTCTTAGAGGGAACTGAAGCGCGGGGCGCGGGGGATGGGGCGGGCTGAGGGGAAGCGAGCCCCTAATACCTGCAGGGCTTAGTCGCCAAGCATCGGGGATATTTTAATGATTTTCCAGCAATGCGAACTGGGCTCCCCCGCTTTCTTGCCTTAGAGCCTTTACGGGGCTGGGGGTGGCCAGCTAGGGATACTTGTCTGTGAGGTCTGCTAACCCAGAAACTTTTCTACAAGGTTCCAGCCGAGGACCAAGCTGAGGCCGACTTTGGGAATGGCAGCACATGGTTTCCACTTGTCAAGAGGGACAGCCTGCCATCTGGAAGAGTCAGCCACTTAGCTAGTCTGTCTTTTTATCCACTCAGCTAGTCCTTATGGATAATCCCCTTTCATGGACCCACACTGTGTTAAAAAGCAGTGGAACTGCTTTGTCGTGAACTGTCAGGGAGTGCCATGAGCTTCTGGATCATAGGCTGCATGGATGAGGTTTTTGTACCTGATGTGTACAAAGTTCCCTGCCAGCTCTTGCCAAGGATTCAAAGGAATAAGAAGCATTGATAATATCGCCATCATCGAAGGAGCGCCAGACACTGTGCATTCTCCCAGAGCTCCTGTTCTTGAGGAACTACTGTTGTCCAGAGAAGGTGAAATATTTACAGGGTCTGCTGCATGCCCAGTAGTGATGTGGACCACCATACTAGTGGGCTCAGACAAGGGGTCTCCAGTTCCGATCTCTCATTCCCCTTCAAATCTGGAATGCTGGGCTTGGCGCAGTGGCTCACACCTGTAATCGCAGCACTTTGGGAGGCTGAGGCAGGAGGCTTACCTGAGGTCAGGAGTTTGAGACCAGCTTAGCCAATATGGTGAAACCCCCGTCTCTACTAAAAGTACAAAAAATTAGCTGGACATGGTGGCAGGTGCCTGCAGTCCCTGCTACTCGGGAGGCTGAGGCAGGAGAATCACTTGAACTTGGGAGGTGGAGGCTGCAGTGAGCCGAGATTGTGCCACTGCACTCCTGCCTGGGCAAGAGAGTGAGATTGTCTCAAAAAAAAAAAAAAAAAAATCTTGAATGTTGAAGTTTCCTGCAGAATTGGGTCACCTCTCTTGTAGCCTGTGATTTCTGATTCTGTGTACCGTTGTCCATTCTAAGAGAAGAGGAACAGGTCCTTTCTACTCCAAAAATCCAGCAGATTGTCTCTGCTGTCTACAATATTCACTCCTGGCGGGACACAGTGGCTCATGCTTGTAATCCTAGCACTTTGGGAGGCCAAGGTGGACCGCTTGAGTGCAAGACCAGCCTGGGCAACATAGCGAGACCCTGTGTGTACAAAAAAATTCAAAAATTAGCCAGAGCTGGTGGCACGCACCTGTAGTCCCAGGTATTTGGGAGGCTGAGGTGGGAGGATCACCTGAGCCCAGGAGCGTTGAGGCTGCAATGTGCCAAGATCATGCCAACTGGACTCCAGCCTGTGCGATAGAGTGTGACCCTGTTTTTTAAAAATAAAAATAATTTTAAAAATATATTCATTCGTAAGAATTATAAGGGTAATAACATTGACATTCATAAAGGTAATAACAATGACATGAATGAAAAAGCTAAATAAAGATTAAATTGTTGCAAAGCCAGGTGTCTGATTCAGGCCTCTTTCTTTTCTGTATGCATTCTGTACTTCATGTCTTTTCTGTCTACCATTC